ATTCCGTTGGATGTAATAATCTGATGATGATGATTAGCATCTCTTTTTATTCTGTTTTAAAGAAATCCAAAAATACATTAAGCAGAGTTTGTGATTTTGACAATAAAACCACTACAATAAAGTTTTCGTTGGAAGCTAATACATATATTTTAATTTCCCAATAAGCGCACACATTATAAGTAATGATAAACATCGATCAAGCCGATATCAGCATCGCAATTTCCAACCTGATGATCAACTTGTATGCAAGCGTATAAATATCTTTATAATAATTTTCCCAACAAAACAATTTATATTCCGACTTGACACTAACAATAGCTGCGATGCAAACATAATTACACAATTATACGGCTTTTCGATTTTTTATTCTTTTTCGCCAGCCAGCAAATTAACTCCCTATATAGCCAATTTTATTGTTAACTTATTTAAATTTATGTTAATGGTTGGATCGTTTATGACATCGATTATTATTGCAGTAGCGGGCGTAGGAACGCCTTACATGGTTGCCATTCTTCTTTTTCTTTACGCTCCATTTCCATTTTGAAGTTTAGTTATCTAATAAACATACGAATGTTAGTAATATAGGAGTTAAGGGTTAAGAGTTTTCTTTAAGAGAATTGCAATATATTCTTTATCTTAAGTAAGATATAGCTGAGTTAAATCAGTTTAGATGAAATGGTAACTTTCAAACGGGTAATATGACACCGTGTAACGAAATATTTTGCCTACCTCATAGGATATTACTATGGGGGCGTAAAAAATTGGGGACAGAAACTATTGTAGTGTAGATAGGGCAAGCAAAATAAACGAAACTTATGCGAACGACGCTTAGAGTTTATTTGGAGTAGCTGGGTCGTGGATAAGTGAATGGCAAAGGGGTTGGATTAAGGCAACTACAAAAAATTAAACAAAGGGGTATTTACATAAGTCTCTTGGAACAAACAAAACAAAACAAAACACAAGAAAGACCTCTAACAATTTAAAATTGACGCCGCATTTAAAAAGATATATCGCCGATATATCTTTTTAAATGAAACTAAAAAAAAAGGTTAGAGTGTAAGTTAAGAAAAATAAACAAAATGACTTAAAAAAAATTAAACATTTATTGTTGTCTCGCCACAAACAGTTGCAAAAATAGAAAATACAAAGATAAAAATCAATAGTCACAAAATTAAATACAAAAATAATAAAGAGAAACACTTAAGTGTCATTATCTGTTTACAAACTCTATTTACAAGTGGAAAATGCTACAAAACTTACAAAGAAATTATTACAAATAAAAAAATATCTTTAAAATAAAACTATTATTAATTCATTAATTAAATAAAATGACAGCTAAGACCACGCCCTAATACATATATTTTTAATTATTACAAATTCTTAAATTTTAATGAAAGCAGTTATTAATATTAAAAAACGTTAATTTTTTTACTTTGAAATTTAAACACAAAAAAAGTTACATTGATTTCACTAAACTTCTTTACTCAACATATTTTCTGAGGTTGGAAAACTGGCCCTTCACTGTGACGCAAAAAAAACATTATCTATAGATTGGAACAACGACCTAGGATAAGAAAATGAGGGTGGAAGCTAGCACTGGATCACAAACATTGGAAAACTCGTCTCCTTAAAAACTGGAACAGGTACAACTGAACACAGTGGCAACATGTGGTTATCTTCAAAATTTCACTCTAACTGTAACTATTATTTGAACTGCTATTTCCCTTAAAAATTTTTCCTTAAAAAAAGGGCGAAGAACGAGAAAACAATACAAATTCGACGAAAAATTTGAAGAATACACGTTGGGCTGAAAACATCAAGAATATCACAAAAAATTGGCAACAAAGAGCACAAAATGAGTTTAGGGAGGCTTATATCCAGCTGTGGACGTGATTAATGAAGGCTGGATGATGATGATGATGATGATGATGCTTTTTCTTCCTGCGTTTCTCATTTCTACTGATGTTTCTGTTATTCCTACTGTTTTTGTTATTTTTTTAGTCCCTTCATTTCATTTTCTATTTCTTTCTCTATAGTAATTTATAATACTATGTTATATTATGTAATACTTGTCATCTTCAAAGGTTGTTTCTGTTTCTACTTCGTTTTTGTTTAATTCTGTTTTAATTCAGTTCTGTCAAATAATTTTGCCAATTTCTCAACTTTTTCTGGTTCATTTAGTAGTATCAATTCATCATTTTTTTATGTATGGGTTATTTTTCTTATATCCTTTTTCAGGATATCAAAACCTTTTTTAGTGCAGCAATGGACCGAAAAGAGTGGAGGAAAATAGTAAACGCAGTCAAGACTCTAGAGTTGTAGAGCCAAACAAGAAGAAGAATAAGAAAGGTAATGATTTATACTAAGTTTAAAATAAAATTGCAGAACACCTGTGGATGGGATTACAGCAAACTAAATTAAATCTAATAACGATACAAATAGAAAAAAAGGAAACAAAAACATATAGCTGCGATTCAAATTTAATAAAAAAGATAAAAAAAAAATGAAAGAGTGGGATTTAAAACAAAAAATGCTGATCGAGGAATATAGTGGAATAGTATAAGCTGGCAATGAAACAACAACTGTTTCTTAAAATATTAAAAACATAAGAAGCTGAAATTATTGTTTAGTTCTGGTAACATTAGTTGGATATGTTATACACAGCAGATAAAACAGTAGTACATATATATATATATATATATATATATATATATATAATATTATATATATATATATATAGACTCTATATATATATATATATATATATATATATATATATAATATATATATAGACTATATTTTGTCTTATACCCTGTATAAGACAAAATTGTGTACAAATGATTATATTTAGTTTTAAGAAAGTTTATTCGGGAATTGTGTATTAGCCCCAGAAACAGTAAAGTCCACATTAGAGAATAGGTAATTTAGATAAGAAAGTTGTTGTTTGAACTAAGTACCCAAAGCCGAGGTCGAGGGTAATTCTATGTAACAAAGGAATCGATAATTGACTTTTCAAGAAATACAGTTAATAGACATTATCGGTAGTTAAATTATACCTGGATATTATTATTTGTAAAGATAGAAAAAATACGTTTGATGTTTAGATTAGGATTAAGATAGCTGTAAATTTTGTTTTTTTTTGAAATCCCTAATGGCATTTTTGAAAAAAGAAAATAGTTTGTTAGAAAATACGTCATGACTAAAAGTTGTTTTTGATTGGCTAAAAATGGTAAAGAGGAAAGGGAAGGACTGGAGAAGGAATGAGAATGAAGGAGAAGATGTGGCAGTCTGTTTTGTTCGATTGAAAGGGATAGTCCTGTTTAGTGGTTAGTGTACGAATAGAGGAAATTGCCGGTTTTGGTTTGTCCAAAAGTGATCAGTGTGAAAAAATTGGAACGAAGAATTAGGCCAAATTGAGAGATAATACAACCTCTTATCTGAACAAGTTCATCTGAATAAGTTGGCCGCCTTTGAATTTTGGTGTTACAGAAGAATCCTACGAATATCATGGATTCAAAGAATGTCAAACATGGAAGTAACTAGAAGGATAGGAAATGAGGCGGAAATAATATTAACTATTAAAAGACGAAAACTTGAGTACTTGGGACATGTGATAAGAGGGCAAAAATACGCATTATTACAACTTATTATGCATGGCAAAATCCATGCGAAAGCGAAATGTGGGAAGACGAAGAATATCCTGGCTTAATAACTTAAGGGAATGGTTTGAATGCAGTAGTGCAGAACTTTTTAGAGCGGCAGTCAACAGAGTCCGCATAGCCTTGATGATTTCCAACCTTCGATAGAAGATGGAACTTAAAGAAAAGACAACCTCTTAAATCTAAAGCATACAGGAATCGTTAAGTACTGTAAAAGGCGGGAATACTGCAGCAGGAGAAAGCCGGAACGAGTGCAGGTGTGAGGCATAGCATGAAAAGGAAAACGAGGTGACAGCAAGCAGGGACATATTTGGGAAACGTGGACAAGTTTCCTTGTATCGCAACAGCAGCAACTACGGAGAATTGTTTTTGGTATGAGGACATTTTCGAAGCTACAGTAAAAAGATCAGTCTTAATTTGTTATGACAGAAATGAATGGTTTTGCGTATTAAATACCACAGTGCATATTTTAATAAACATTTCAATATTATAAAAAAATTTGTTTAAATCTCAAGAAAACGTTATCATTTAGACATCATTACAATTTCTTTTATCTGTTTTATTGATAAATCAAAATATTTCATATCAAACTAATTTGGGTCACAAAAGAAAACCAGATTCATAGTTTTAATATTGGTTACATACAATAAAAGGTAAAGGAGTCATTGATAAAACTTACATGATTGAACATTTAATGCAAATTGATAAAATAAACGAATTTTGTTATTTCAACTTTGAAATTCCTGTGTATTAATTGTGTCGTTTTTACCTA